ATCCAGCAACACAAACAGTTTTGTGCAATCGAGAAATTAGATTGAAAAAAGCAACTGTGCTTGCGTTTGTTAATTTGGTGTCGTTTCGCATCAGGTAGCTCCTGTCAGTTGGTGCTTTTTTTTTGTTTGACAAGAAACACACGAATTGGCAAACACACTGTTTAGTTAGTCTCACACATTCTTCTCATATTTCACCTTTGCCACATGTTTTGGGCTGGAAATGCAGGCGAGACGTCTCTGCAGAAACTCACCTTAATGTGTCACAACGTAAAGAGATCATTTTTTTAATTCCGGTATTCGGCCACTTCCGAATAAGTGTGGCCGATCCAAGAGGAATTCTGAAGAATACGAACTCAGGTTCACCCCCCCTGAATGCATCCCAAAAACTTGTTCAGAAGGTCCCACCCCCACGCCCTTCACGTCTAAATTTTTACGTACCCACACAAAACATTTGCAAACCAGTTATGATCAAGTGAATATCATACATATCTGGCATTTTTTCACTGAGTAATTAATCAAAATTCAAACCCATTCTGGTGCCATTGATGGGAGAACAAGCGAAATAAAATGAGTAAGTCGGGCTGTTAGAACACTCCGGAAATGTGTCGGTAGTAGCCGACACAATGCGACTATTTATGATACCGCAGCAACATCAAATACGATGGCGAAGACACCAGTAAGAAATTCTGGAGAAGAATAATAAGTACTTATATTTAAATTATGAACTCGTCAGCATTTTGGGTAATCATGGTAGCTGGGAAATTTACTCATGTTTTCGGCGCAGATCTTGAAATCGGAAGTACTACAAAAATTACTGCCGCTATTGCACGAAATCCAGCCAATTAACATGCTTCCACTGTTTCCTTATTGGCTAATTATTGACTAATTGTGGTCAAGTTAGCCTACCTTCGTGGGTGGAATTTGCTGATTTAGGCCGAGTGGTGGAATACTTTTGTCGATTAGAAAAAAATAAAATTCAGCGGACAGTACGTTGCAAAAACCAAAATTTTGCCCGAGGAAAAAAACTTTTTGGCTTCCTGTGAAAAAAGGAATCAGTTGGATTGAAAACCGAAAATTTTTGAGGCGAGCAAATTTGAATTGCTGCTGCAGACCGATTCAACACCTCGACAAGAACGAGAAGACACAGGACGGAAACGCGTGCTCAAGTAAAAATGGCAGTAGCGCTTGACAATCGATTTCCGAACCAACGTGGCAAGAAAATCAATAGATTTATCAACTTTAATCCATCTCACAAGAATTTCATGCAGCCCCGTTGCATATTTAATTTTTTGATTCAAAATCAGGTAACCGATAAATGTTGTCTTTACCGCATTAGACGCTAATAACGAATTAAATGTTTTGAGTGTATGGAGGCCGTGTATCACTAATAAAATTTAATCAATTCTAAGGGATTTAACACTTTAGTAATTAGACCAAATTCGTAGAGTGCGCGCCAGCCAAATGCGTGGTGTGTGACTTTTTTTGTTCAAGTAAATTTTACTGATTCAGAGATAATTAATTGCAGCTTCGAAGGGGGAATTAATTACCCCGTTTTTTTTAGTCACATTAGACGCCGAAAAAGGCCATTGAAATTTCCTCTTTCAATTAGGCCTTTTTGCTCATCGTCGTCTTCAAACTTTTGGATTGGCGGGGCGACACAATGATTTCATTGGTTACAGTTGGAACCTGGACCACATTGATTGATTTTAAAACGAGATTTACGATCGACTTAACAGCAAGTAGCACAATATTCACGAATGCGTCGATCTTTTGACAAATCCACAAATGATGGTGGCAAACGAATCATTTTGCCTTTAAATACGAAAGCAAAAATGGACAGCTTGAACTCTGAAAGAGATTTAGTCAGATCGAACTTAAAGCTACGATTTGACACTTCTGTCCAACCCAAAAAGTGCCGTGGTTTGTTGTGGGCCCCAGCATGTGGCCTTGAACCACGTCGGGGCCACGGAATCAACCCTGGCCCGATTACGTTTCCCTGATACCCGCAATGACGGAAACGGTAAGAGGGGGCGTGGACACAACCGTTTACTTCAGAGCTCCGCCACGTTGGTGCCGTCGTGTCGTGTGTGGGGTTTACGTGTGTGTATTTATACCTCAGATGTGTGAATCATCGGGACCTAGGTGTGAGGATAATTCAAGATAATTATTCGTACGAATGAGGGGTGGGGAGTTGAGGATCCGCGCGGCTGGCGACATGCTGCGAAAAGGGGGGCCCTGTGTCGGAGGCTGGAGTGATCGGATCAGGAGGTGTGAATCAACAGGTTAAAACCACTCAAAATTTCAAGAACAAAGCTATTCGCATATGCTTCGTTTTCCGCTCAATTGATTACAAATAATAAACCGATTAGTTTATAAATGAAGCGGGTATTTTATCGATTGAAGCAATGTAGAACGTATTGATTTTTCATATTTTTCATCAGCATGGTCATTTTCAAACCCCCTTAAAGACAAATCATTTTCAAAAAACCGGACTCAAATGATGTTAATTAGTTAATTAATTAAAACAAGACTAATCAAAGCTGAAGTAAGCAGTAAAACGGGACAATTTACACTTGTTTGGAACGAAAGTCGTACTGGCGTGCGTTTTTAGCCTTTTACAACAATTTGCAAATGCCCACTTTCTCTCGAGGTAAAGTGTTTGAGGTTTTTGATTCGCCTATTGGCAAGATCCCCAGTTTAAATGGAGTGAGATCAAACGATTTTTTTTAATGGACTATCTTCTCTTCACGTGATCACCCTAGTGACAGGATCTAGAACAAATATTTTTAGTCCTTTTTAAAACAATATCCACAATTTGCGCTTAACTTTACACGTTTTTGTTTTAATTTAACTTTTGTCAAATTGTTAAAGTGGTTAAATAGTTGGCGTAAAATGGTGCTTGTGGCAGCGTGCACTAGTTTTTTTTTCAAAGGCGAGCAAAGACGTAAAATGCTTTGAAATGGAGTGAGATTTTACGACCCCAAGAATTCTTATTTAATGGCCTTCGCGTCGATAAATCTACGGATTGTTCTAGAGGGTTTGAAATAATGCGCACAGAGCACTTAAACTCCCTGTCTTAAAGTGCAACTCGCAGTAAAATTTGTGGGTTTTAATGCTCCAAAAAAATTAGCATGCAAAGCGAGCTGCAGGGAGGCAGGCTTAACGAAAATTATATCCTGTGCATTATTCCACGAACCAACCACTTCGTGCCAAGGGTAACTTTAATTTCCGATTTACATGATCCACTGACAAGATTCCACTAACTTTAATTGCTACTTATTTAAGTCAGTAGCAATGTAATTACAATCTATTGCATCGTTGCAATGTTCTGTCCCCTCCTGACACTATCAGAACAAACCATCAAGATGTAGTCCTATCAGGTAAGGATTATTTTTTGAAACTTTTATCCATTTCCAGGCAACTTTACGATATTACTTGGTGTGTCTTCATTAATTGCAAATTTTATTTATATGAAACTGTTAGCAGACAGCCCACGTTTACTACTGTGTGTGAAAACTGATTTTGGTTCTTAACATATGAGTGGCCTAATCACCCAAAACCAGGGAAAGGAGTTGAAGGAGTCTGGATTAATGCGGGCTTATTCAGCTGCATGAAAAGTTTACAACATGCTCGAAACACAACAACTGAACACTCGGAAAATTCTATTCGGAAGTACTTTGAAAGGTTTTGCATTTTCGCCCACCGACTACTCTTATTAAATCAAAAAAAGAAAGGTGAATTTGGTTAAAGCCAATTCGGACTGTATTTGATGATGTTTGATGCCCCGGAATGACATTGGTTAAGAGAAAATTTTAATCATTGCAACACTAAAAAACCGGGATTAACCTGAATCCAAAGCCACGATATAAGAATACTGCAATAAGAAATTCATCTATTTACATTGGCGTTTCTCACATATGTTAAGCACTTGACCACTATTGTGGATGGATGTTCTTTCCTAGATAGCAATGAAGTCCAAATTTGTTTTGAAAATTGAACAGTTATTGATTCACTCTCAGAATAAAATTGCTTACCTAAATTGGTCTACAGTGTGAAATAGTACAAGTTACGACATGCAGAACACCTATTTATTTTCTTTACTTTGTGTGGATTAAGAGCGAATTCTGCTTGTTTATCTGCAAAACGATCTCATTCCTCATTAGGGGTTCTCAAACTTGTATCTACGACCAACTAATGAATCTGAACTCCGGTCTTTTTTAAATCGTCAGTGTGAGAGTCGATTTGGGGTTGAAATTAAAACTCCATATTTACCCAAAAATTAATGATGCCGATAAAAAATGAATTTTGACGTTTCCTAATTTAGCACTCAATATCCATGTTAAAATTCTTGATCAGGCTTTTAAAATGCGAAAGATTAAAAGACGCCATTCCTAAGCTTTTATTATCTTTGCGCCAAAATTCAAAGCCCAAAATTCAGTCAAAGTAACCTTTGATACCTGTGTGTCAAAGCAATCTACTATAAATTGCCGAGGAGCATAAAGAAATGCAAAGTGGATTTGCCGAATCCAAACAAAGCAACTTAAACAAGGCTCTAAATTTTTCCGTCAAATGGATTGAATAATAGGCTGATAATATCAAATTGTGAAAGAACCTTCAAAAATCCTATTTCAATTGGATACTTTCTTCATTAAACAACTATATATTAGTTGTTCCTTCCAAACTCATTTATACCTGGCGTTAGTTGAACCCATAAACTAATAAGCTTTAATGATTTTTTTGGGAATTCTTAATCAAACGTGACAACATAAAGTTAACATGTTTAAAAGTCTGGTAAGAATAGAGATTTGCCTTTTTTTTATTTATATGCACAAGTCCTCGTCTCCTATTCGTGCGGGTTTTCAAATCCAAGCAGTAACTTGTCTCCTCATAAATACTATGTTAGCTTAGCGCGCCTGTCTCCCGGTCTCGAATAGGTGGCCTTCAATATATTACAGCGCTCAAAAACTAAGCTTGGAATTTACTTTACGATACACTTAGGGATGTCAGATTTCAATTCAGAGTCTTTATTCATCTTGAATTCATTCCTGAATTCCTCGCTAGAGGACGTCTCCGCCGTGAACAGCGAATTTCCCCAACTTTTGAGTGTAGTCGAAAGACTTAACTTGTTCGTCAATGAATTCCGAAGTCTTCCCAACTACGCACCTACTTTCCAGCTTGTCGATGGTGTTTTTGATAAGGATATTGAACATGTGCTGACTAGCTACTCCAATATCCTCGAGAATCTGTTCGAGCATGTCAATTGGGGTCGGATCGTTTCCATGTTTGCCATACTTCAAAGTGCTGCCAAAAAAATCAAAGCTAATCACGATTTACAGTCCTTGAATAAACTAGTCGATCTTACCGCCTCTTTCATAGATCGTCGCCTTAAGACCTTCATAGTTGAACAGGGTGGCTGGGTAAGTGTCGTGTCTACTATTAATTTATTGAATCGTTTTCTCCTTACCATACTTTGGCCCTTTTAAAGGAGGGTTTGCTATCGTTGACTGCACGCAGGAACCCCCAGGACTCATTCAGGCAAAACGCCATGCTGTGCGTTGTTGGAGCTGTTGGTGCGATCGGCGTCGCTGGCTTACTCCACTTCATTTCCTGCCGGATTTAATCGAAACTTCATACGTAAATACACACTAGACCCACCTACGTACTGTCCCCTTTTATATGACTTGTTATTTCTTTTATATAACGTTAAATTCCGATTTCGTAGCGTGTAAATTGCCTTTTTGTTTCTTGGGTTGGGCTCTGGGAAACGTATTTACCAAGGAAGATTGGGAATCTACTCGTCCATTATTTCCTAGTCGCGTTTGTCTCTCCTCCGGAAGCTAGGCGTTAGCGGTTCATGGTTCATTCTATGCCAAATGGACTCGACGTCTCAAGACGCCTAAACTCATTCCATTGGCTTAGGTCGAGTATGTTATTACTACCCGTCGAAGCACTATCCCAGTTGAAGGTTTGTGATTGCACCTCAACGATCTTAATGGCCGGGTTTCGGGGTTAAATTGCCAAATAGGGCCGCACATGTCGCCTTCACCGCTTTCGTCTCCGCATCGAACATTTGTGGAGATGAATCGCAATGGGTATGTGCACTATATTGTTGGCACAGGTGGTGTTGTCCCCGCAATCCGCTGCCCTCAAAAGAAATATCCTAATCAAAAATTCGGGTATATTTTCATTGAAAGAGAAATAATTGCCAGAAGCATGGCACAGAGAAGGCTCATGCGTGGTGCATCAAGCTTGCAATCAGATGGGGTCAAAATAATGAAGTGAGGAAAACAAACGAAATTTGTGATGCATAACTTAAGGGAGCAGCGATCTGCTAAGCTGGCGCCTCCTGGTACTGTTGGTATTCGCTGATCAGATCCAGGACGTTGCCCTCCGTGGACGTGAACTCGGACTCATCCATGCCTTCCCCGGTGTACCAGTGGATGTAGGCCTTTCGTTTGAACATGGCTGAAAAGGCTTTTTGAATTCGACTGAACACCGCCTGTATGGCCGTGTTGTTGCCCATGAACGTGGAGCACATCTTCATTCCTCGCGGCGGGATGTCGCAGACGGCTGTCTGGCAGTTGTTCGGGATCCACTCGACGAAGTAGTTTGAATTCTTGTCCTGCGTGTTCAGCATCATCTCCTCCACCTCGGCGACGCTGAGACGTCCTCGAAAGATGGCAGAACAAGTGAGGTATCGACCCGCGAGGGGGTTGCACGCCGCCATGAGGACCTTGGCGTCGAACATTTGTTGAACCAGGTTCGGTACAGTTATCGCTTTGTACGGCTGGTTGTCCCGGCTGCTGAGGGGCACAAACGACGGCGCGACGAAGTGTATCCGTGGAAACGGCACCAAGTTAACTGACAGTTTACGCAAATCAGAGTTCAATTGACCGGGAAAACGAAAGCACGTGGTAGCGCCCCCGATGCCGGTAGATATGATGTGGTTGAGGTCTCCAAATGTGCAGGAAAGCTTGAGAACGTTGCTGCAAATGTTGTAGAGGGCCTCGTTGTCGAGGATGACGGTCAGGTCGCTTGTTTCGATGAGGTAGTCGAGGGAGAAGATGCTGTTGTAGGGTTCCACTACCACATCCGAGACCTGTGAATAGATTGCACTTGATAGACCAACTGGTAAGAACCTTTTGATACAAAGAATATCAGCTAGCTTTATGCGAACTCCTAAGCATTTGCAGAATTTGTCCGTCTGCTCAACTGTGGCAGGGCAGTTGGTTGAACTAGCAAAATCGATTACCTTCGGTGAAGGTAGAACGGTGAAGTTGTTGAAAATTCGGTCGTTCCAGTCGTCACGCAGCTGATCGATTATTGCCGTTCCCATGCCGGAGCCACAGCCTCCACCGATGGAGTGGATGATTTGGAAGCCCTGGAGCTGGTCACAGCCCTCGGCCTCCTTTCGGGTGATGTCTAGAACTGCATCCATCACCTCTAAGCCATCGGTGTAACGACCCTTCGCCCAGTTGTTACTGGTGCCACCGCGTCCTGTTATGTAGTTTTCCGGACGAAAGAGCCGTCCAAACGGACTACCGCGCACTGAATTCAATATGTTCGGGTCCAAATCAACCAGAACACAGCGGGGAACATAGCGCCCACCTAAATCCAGGACGAAGACAACGTGGTAGCCAGGGTATGTGCACTCCAGGGGTGCGTTTAACTTTACGATTTGCAAAACCAAACCCTGGATATGTCTGGCGGTGACGAATTGGTTCGTCTCCATGTCGCTAATTGGCGTGTTCGTCTCACACACGCACCCATCAAACGTGTCCCTACCCACATCCGATACGACTGATTTACCTACCCCTCGAAACTAGCTTTTGGACACTTTCTGAGGCGCGTATTTTTTGGGCAGGTAATCAACTAACTAGGTTACTGAAATGTGATCTTCGATTTATTTGTCAACCTAAAAAAAAAACCTCGGCAAAATTGTTGTGAAAATATCTCATAGTAAACAATAGGGATGGCATCTGCCTCGTCAGAAGTTAAAGTTTGACCTTCCTCCATCAGCTACGTTACTTTTTTCTCATCTTTTGCTGTAACAAAACGTTGGCTTTAATCGTGCATTCACTTGCCGTAATCTGATTGGCTGGAGTAGGAATGGAACTATAAAAACCAGCCGTACCCATTGCTTCGGTGAAGTAGACATTCATTCTTTCCAGCTGGAGGTCTGATTCTCCGTGGAACCTTCCATCCGGACCCACTCCATGTTCGTCCGAAATCAGCTCCCAAAACTAAAATTCACGAGTGAAATATTTGCACAACATTGCAACCCCATAGTGAGGGACGCAGTTTCAGGCCGACCAATCAACCCGAAGTAGGCCGACAATCTAGTAGCATAATGCGCTTCTACCTTAGCCTTAGATGCGACGTTAGTAATTGTTCTTTTTTTCTGTCTCAGATACGATTGTGTCTGGCCTTGAGCGACACTCATTTATCGATTTTCATATTAGCTAAACCATCACAGTGACTGAACCATATCGCTCATCAAATCCGCCGGCAAGTAAATTTCACAAGCAGGTATTAGGTCATTGGCCAATCCCGAGCACTAAAGCAAAGCTGTTAATTGATTGGTCAATTTAAATTTTACAATAGCCTGCAAAGTAGCCATAAATCCTGTGAAGCACATAGGTGTACAACTAACCAAATGCGAGCCCCTCACCGCAGTGTGAATTACTGACCGAATAGAAACAACGCGGCTTCCGAAGTGGTTCGCGAATAGTCTTTCAATGTTTTACACTGACGCAGTCTAAATCGTCCAATTTTCCCACCTACATGGTCTTAGTTTAGCGAAGAGACCACCTCTCCTAGCGGACGTGGGGTTGCTCCGTGTTGTGTTTAACCAAAGCTTCATTCTACACTTGGGCGCTGTTGACTCATAGGCCACTGAATAACCGCGTAGTGAGTAAGCCGCCAAAAAGTCACTTTGGACCAGTTTAGAACGGACAGAATATGGTAGAGCCGCGTGGCTTGCAACAGGCAGTCGAGAAGACGTTATTGAGACACCAGGCTTACCGATTAGATTCACACCCACCTTAATTCCCGTGTGATTTCCACATTGGCCGACTTGCAAGACCAGTAACTCACGCATCTCCCGAGGTGTGCGTTGCGCCTAGCCGTGAAGGAAGGTGACAACGCCTGACACCCGTCTCGTCCCCTCGACCACGTGACTCCCAATCACGCGCGTCGCCCGTCACTGTTAAAATCGATACCAGACACTCCCTGTGTAGCCTCAAATTAAAAAAGGCGACAACCAGAGGCGTTCTCTATCACGAATGTTTGCCAGGTCCCTTTTTAAAAGAATTTCCATGGTTCAGCGTGTTTTTATTGACGTAATTGCATCAGCATAAGAAGGAGTACGGAAGAACGCATTTACATCAGTGGGCTCTTTTAAAACAACAACGCAGAGCAGTATGTACAAGTGAGACGCGGCCTAGGATTTGCCGCGTCGCAGGGTAGACGGCGCCGACCCAGTGGTCTTGGCGACGGAGTCGTCTTGGCCTCGCACCTCGGATTTCAGCCGCACGAACTCCCGGGCCACTTCGTCCGAGGGTCGTTGGGAGAGGATGCGCAGAATGGTCCAGCCGGTGTCGTCCAGGTTCAGCCGACTGCCCAGCGCGCACCAACACGCGCACGAGCCGCTCGTGCCCAAGCCCAGGGTGTCGGTGCTCGCCGTCAGATCGCGCAACTGCAGCACCGTCAGTCCGATCAAGCGATCCGACCTACCGAAGCAGTAGTCCTTCGCGCAGAGGTGCAGCTCGTACGAGTCGGGGTCTGAGCCCGCGCCCAGCAAGCTACGAGTAAAAAATAAAAAAAAACCGCCGTTTAGCTTGACTCACGTCCACTAGCCGGCCACTCTGACCTCATTTTTCGCGGCGGCTCTATCGATCGTGCGGGACCGTCTGCTCACAAAGCCCTGTGCGCGTACCACCCCCACACTACCCAATTTCATTCATTTGGCCGTTTGTACTTTTACAAGTAAACCCAGTCACGAGTTTTTTTTGAACAGTGGAGCCATCTGATAAACGGCTGTGTCCTCGCGTGAAAAGAATAAGTTAGGGAATCGGTTTCTATGCTATGCAGTGGTCACTTGAGTTTCAAGGACATTTTGAATAAGCATCATTTGCTCGGACCGCGGGTTCACGAGACTCCCAAAAAACACATTCTGTGAAGGGATGAGGTGATTAGACAGGAATTCCAGCACGTCGACCGCCACAAGTCGCCGTCCCGAGTGATCTGACCCGCATTTCGCCATTCTCTTCATCACCACCACCACCACCACCGCCTCCGCCGTTGTAATTTCGGACAACCGGTTGCAATGGGTCGTGACGTCATTCGCGTGGCCCAGACAAGGCCACGCAAGCTGTCCAAAATCGAGAGGAACCAGTGCAGCAGTTGTCCGGTCGCCCAAACGCGGTAAATCAGGCCTATCACCGAGGGAATGATAATGAAGACGAACGGCTGTGATAAACGATAGTCTGGGCGACGGACATTTGGTGTACCTGTTGGTGGTACCGCAAAGCAGTTGCATGACTCACGTGCAATGAGTAATCGCACCCCAATCACCGACTGTGTGTAAATCAACAAGGCCTCACAACGAACATGGTCGCCACAAGAAAAAATAATAATAATTATGATGATGATGATAAGACGACTTACAAAGTACAGGACTCGTTGAAGGTCGGCGACCAGACACCCGTCTTGGACTTGGTCGCGAACTTGCGTTTCTTGTCCGCGAGCAGCGGTCCGAGGATGTAGACCTCAACGAACGGACGGAAGGTACCGCTTGTCTGCCATTTCAGGTTGTTCGCCGATAAGACTGACACAAAAAAAAAGAAGAAAAAAAAGTCTGAAGTCTGCTGAGTCACGCCGCTTGGCTTCCGGGTGTTTGCGAGACGAGGAGGCTGTAAATCTCATAACTTCGCCCCCGAACTAACAAGTGAAGTTGCATTTCTTGGTGCCTGTTCGATGAGAGAGAAGTAGGGGAGTTTGGGGCGAACAGTTATCCCGAAACCGAACACCGACAGAACGCTGATTTGGCACACATGCACCCGGGGACGCCCACGCATTGTTTGTCTCCATTGGACTACGAGACAGCCTTGACTCACGGCCAGCGTGGCCTTGAAATGCACTGGTGACCTTGAATTCGACAACAACGACAACAAGCTTTGACAGGCTGTGTGCCGTGGGCATCGGGTGCAGGATGGTAAGTTAAAGTGAAGATGAAACATTCCTGCTAAGTCGCCCAGTACCTAGTACAGTTCGTGCACAAATTCCACGGCAATTTGTCGATTTTCGACAAGATCAAAGGTCGAGAACATGCCTGCTACGCGATCAGTTTATGCGACCGATTGTGGAGCTTCGGGTTTTATCACAAACCCACAGGTCACCTGATTCGTGGATGTAGCTACGTCAAAGTGATTAAGCCTCCTAATTTAAAGCACACGCGGTTGAAAAATTGTTCGATCACCACAGCACCCGTGTTACTATCATGTCTTTATTGCGGGCGTTTGACTCATTAGTTTACAGATTATTTCTTCGGACCTAAAATTATATTTAAGATAGAAGTATTTTCGTGGTCTTTTGCGGTTTTGTAGGACCCGTAGCCAAGGTTTCAGAACATTAAATGACAAGTCTACGTGAGTTACACAATCTATCGGAATACCAGAGTGTACGACGACGGCAAGTGATAAACAGCACTTTCGATGGCACTGTATTTTTTACGGATTCCAACGAGGGAAAAACGCTTCTAAAACACGGGGGAATTAGGTTGTAGTGTTCTTGGTGTAGGTGCCGACGTTGTGTCCTATGGAACGTGTGGATGTTGGTACAGACGTTTTGGAAGTGGTGGTTTTGATCTTAGTGACCAGCCGCACCCCAGACAGCAGCCTCAAAAGTGAGAAGATCCGCGATTGCAAGCTCTACTGGATGAAGACTGGACGTAAACGCATTAGGAGCTTCCAGCAGGAGTCACCCAAGCAGCGCTTGCACCACCAAACGGGAAAATTCACTAACGTGGAAGTTGGGTCCCCCACATGTGTTGACCGAACACAACCTGGATTAACGAATGAACACATGCCTTCACTGCTTGCCCGCCGGCAATAAGCACTTAGTGGATTTCTTGTGGGGATTTGTGATGTGTGATGAAATGCGTGTTTTTTAGGAAATCCCAAACGCAAAATGTGGAATCATGGGGAGATCCCGAACAACGCCGAAGCGGGATAGCCACTAGAAGAAGGTTCTTCTGTGTATCTGGTGGGACATGAAGGGTGCTGTTCTCTATTCCTTTATATTACATAAATTTTCTGAAAAAATCTGTAAAAATTAAGTCGCCAGCAGAGATGAATGGGGTGTGGTGTCAGGGAAAGGATCAGTATTTCAGCAAACACGACCACAACTTCATGATGGAACGTCGCCTCATTTTCCGACAGGACGTTAGTCTCTGATCCATCACAGCCCTGAAATTGCTTTCACGTCTTGTGGGCCAGTCGTGGATAGCATCGGACAGGCTTGTTTGATATTTCAGACAACCCTAAATGAGGGAAGATATCCACTGGGATCATGAAACTGATGAATTCAAAACCAGAGAAGGTCACAATCATTGTGGTGTGAACTCCGTGCGTCGAAGCCCTACCAGAAGGTGGTTAGCCGTTGAAGACATGTCGAAACACAGCAGGCTGCAGGCAGGATTAACGACTTGTGCCTGGGACATGACGTTTGGGGCATCACTCGAATCCTTAATTATACATTCCCAGCCCTTGGGGCACAAACTTTCGCGAGGCAGGGCTGTTGCCATGGCGCTACGGCAGAAGGGGGCGTGCAATCGGTTGGACTTCCTTCACCATCGCGTTTCGGCCTGAAACACCCCCTATGCTACGAGACCGTCCGAATGTACAACAAATTTAGTTGGTGCCGAAAACGCGTTTGGAAAAAATTCCGATTTGTTCAACGATCTGACCCCTCCTTCTGCAACCATCCATTGAAAAAGCATTCCAGCAGAGAACACCCCGTCACGTAGACGCAAGATTTGGGGTGCACAGTGGACGAGGCTGTCGTTCACCCCCCACCCCCAACCCCCAACTGCAGTCACCAAATGAGGGAGGCTTCCAAGTCACGATTTATGCGTTGGCGGACTACGGCGAGGAGTTGGTGTGGTTTAGATTACCCAGGTTCAGATCGTCGGTGTGATTATTTTTATGGCTGCTTCAAACAACCACCTAGATGGCCCTCTTCGTCGTAGCTGACCGCGTGTTGGCGGTAAATTTTGCCAACTACGACTTGACAACGGTCGAGTTGCGCCACGTTTTAGTGCAGAAACGAGGAGTTGGTGTGCAGTCCTTGAGAACACTAAACTAGTCAGAGCAGTTATCGCACGATTGGACTAGACATGTTTTTTTTTCAGTTGCGACCGACTAAAAATCACTGACCCGCCTTCTAGCATGCCACGGCCTTCTGAAGACAGTTCGCCTTTTCTAACTAATGGCAGTTACTTTAAGAACACTTTAAAGTGACAAAAAACGGTTTGTGGATTCGCTAAAGATTGGCTTTTAACGGGTACCACTAGTGGCATCTACGAGAACTTGACCACGTGCGGCTGTTTGTGGCTTCTGGCGACACCTGGAAATCACTTCTCTGGCCACTAGAGTGGTATTTTGTGAGGAACAGCAATGGAAACACTTTGAACCACCGCGGATGTCACTGGACTGGTGCCAAACTCCCGCCAATCGATCTGGGGCAACTGCGGTTACCGCGAAAAGCGTAATGAGTCAACCGGATGTCTACCTAATTGAAGGTCAAGACGTGGACCAACAGTAACTAAGGCATGGTGGGTCTAAATGCAAGAGGGGGGACGTTAGGTAACCTTCGTTCTTATTGGTTCACCCACAGATCGAGAATCGAAGGGAACCCCCACCGTCTCCGTTCTCTAAAAGGTGTATTCATTGTAAGAATGTCTCCTGATGGAACCAGTAATTTGTTCGTGAAAAAAAGACTTCCTGTGTCAAACGTTCTTCAATGCGATATTTACCGAATCGTGCAAACTTCCAGGTCACGTACGTGAAACCAATTCTGCCTCAGAGCCGGGTTGCTAGCACGATAGGTAGCGCCAAGGTCAACCAGTGTGCAAGGTCGGACGCATCCCAGCAACCAATCCGATCGATGGCTAGCTTGGCTGCTTGGTTCAGTTGTCGGGACTGGCTTGGTTACAGAAAAGACTTAGCGACCGTGTAGAAGTGCCTTGAACTACCGTCAACTATGGCTCAATTTAACCAATCAGAATTTAGACTTTGACTCAACTGAACCAATCAGATTGAAAATAAGTAATCAGCAGTTCGGACCACCACAATCTTAAAGAAAATAGGCAGTAATGTCTGAAGTGGGGTCATTACAGGTGTCAAACCAAAGTCTGATCATAGTTGCGTAAGCGCCAATTTAGTAAACACACATCCATCCATTGTCTGCAACTAGCGGTCTCGCATCTTGTGGCTGCACATCCAGACTAGCAATGTCTGGTTGCTTAGGCGTCGATGGAAGGCGTCGATTCTCCACCATGCTGACTAGGTTCAAGGATGGCACCCGACGTAACTCACACCGATCGACTAATGAAGGACCCATCTAGTCATCCACTCATCGATCTTGATCAATAGACCAATGAGTCAAGGGGGTGTCTACTTAATTGAAGGTCAAATCGCGGACCAACAGTAACTAACTAGACTATTCCATTCTCTCCTGCACTCCGACAGGTTGCTTAAACAAATTTGGTTCCATCAAACTTTTCTACGACAATGTTCAATGAAGCTAGTGAGAAATTTCCTCGCCAAACGCAAAAAACAGGAACAAATGAAGCGTTCTCCATTGTCCGATATTGCAATTGTTTTGCAAGAGAGTACCAGAAAACAACACCAGCAAAAACAACAATAACACCGAAACGAGACAGCCGCCAACAGCAACCAATTAACGACGTCGTTGATTGGACCGCATTACAAAGGAAAGGGCTGAGTCAGTTGCGTGAGTCACCAATCATCGTGAGGCAGAATTCCACCAAAAGTACGCCAAGCACATTTCGCCTGCCAACTCACGAGTTGATGGCTGTTTACTCAGCTGTCTGTGTGTGCGCGTGTGTGTGTGTGTGTCAGCCCGTAACTTACGGCCAACCAATGACTGCGCAGAATGTGTTTATTTTTTTTAAATACCACTCGAGTAGCCAATCACCAGTGGCGTAGTGGCCACTTCTTCAACAGATTTTTAAAAAATCCAGAACGGGAATGACAATCCCTGATTTCGCAAACGGGGGATTTAAGATTGTTTTCAGTAATTCAGAGGAAATGGTGGTTGAATTAGGCTACTGGAATGGTGAAAACTTGAAGTGTTTCTGTGTGTCGGTGGAATATATTTTTAGAGGCGCAGTTAGAGTACTTTTCACGGGAGGTCAGACTTTTTCGACAAAACTACCACAGATCTAATTCCTCATGATGGGAGCCAAAAAAAATTATTCGAGGAAAATCATGTTACAGCAGGATTCGAGCATGAGACCTGGTGAGAGGGTTTTCTGATTGTCCCGTTTTGAACGAGGCAATCTGAGAAACAAATACGCCCGGAGAAATTACTCATGTCAACTCAGTAATATATGCAGTCTTGAGTTTTTAAAATTCAGACGAACACTCACTTGAGACGGTGACTTTGTGTTCCCCGTTGGAAGGGTGTCGGAAGAGATCCACCTGGATTGAAAGTTCTCCAACGCTATTCTCCACGGCGGGTTTATCTACAGGGGCAAATTTTACGAGTTCACGCGACAGAAATGCTCAAAGCACTTACATTGAATTGACATTTTGTTATCGACACATTAACGAACGCTACAGGAGATTGGTCAATTAGAGGTAAAATCGATAACCGATCAGCCTCATTGGTTGAACGGCGAAAAGTGAAGGTTATGAGTTGCCAAAAGGTGTCACCAAAAGCATATCAGTTCTTAAATCATTTTTCTAGATTGTTCCAGAAAATAGGCAGCGATCGGTCTAAAATCGTCTGTTTTTTGAAGAAAACTGACAATCAACGGTCGATTTGTGCATAGAAACAGCTCCAATGTTGCAGACACATGAAGGCATTCTAAGGAGTTAGTCTGCGAACAAGCCTGAAGATTCACAGGCATTTCCAAGCTACATGAATGAACATGACGATCACAGGATCCAAATTCACACACACACACACACACACACACACACACACTGACAGCTGGTTAATGTGTGTGTTTACAGTACTGCGTGGGCCACCATAACGCGCCACGTGACTGAGTCACAAGTTGGCTGGCCTACCTTGTGACTTTTGCGTGAAGACGAAATTTTTGATCAGTGCGTCTGTTGTTTGGGTGTACAACGAGAGGATGTACTGTAGTGACTGAAACTCCGGCGAATTTTCCAAATAGCTGTTCTTCAAGCCACTGCCCCCGGCATGGAAGTAGCTCTTGATGGCGTCCAAGGCGATGTCCAGGATTTGGCAGTGGCGTGGAGTCAGATTTCGCAGTGTTAAGTTAGCACTCTCCTTGGACATTTCCTGGATGGAAGGAAAAAAATTCACGAGTTTTAGACCATACTACTGTACACTGTGAGTAGGCTGTTAGCATTCGGCTGACCTGGAGAAGCTTGTTATTCGGCAGCTGGCTACTGACATTGCTTAGCAGGGTCTGGGAAACGCTGGATAGCTTGGCCGTGGCGTTGGACGGGATGGAAAGATTAAGGAATAGGGCACTCGGATCTGACACGGGAGGCAGAACCACCTGCTTCTCAAAGGTGTACATGGTAATTTTCCAGAGTTCCTGTGCCAACGAAAGTGAAATTTTGGTAGTACTAAGATGATAAAAACCATAAAAAAACCCGCATTGATATCGCTTTGGAGTACCTTGAGGATTCTCTTTAAAACAGTTTTCTCACAAATGTCCGCATAAACGGACAAAGAGGATTCGAAGTGATCCATCAGGGGCCGGAGGATAAGGTCCGCCTCCGACTCGATGCTGGCCTTCGAATTTGACGAAATCTGCGCAGGAGAAGAAGATAACCTCAACGTCACAAGTTATTTCGAGCAATTTTTGTGCTAGCTACACTCACATGATCAAAATCCAATCAAATCAGGCGGTTGCCATGGCAACGACAAACGCGCAAATCCAAGCTGTTTATTTAAACGAGAGCGTGGCTCCTGCACATGGTGCCTCGTAGGAGGTAAAACGGTCTTTTCCAATCAGGTCGACAGAAATTGGAAAAAGCCTTCATTTAAGGGAAGTCAACGTGATTAAACATTGTTAATGAACTGCATTTTCAAGCTTTGCGTTCAGAGTGAGTACAAAGCACGATGTCGGAATTCGTTTATTGAGCAAAAATGTCTAATGAGGACGCTCTAGTTTGGACACCCGGGTGACCATTTTACGGAGATTGACTTAACAAGACAGTTGTTGAAAAGGGAAGTTTACATCGCTCACGGAAATCCCGAAGATTTTCATTCCTTAAAACAAAAACCTAGTGGATATTCCCTCGATCTGTGATTGTTACTGAATTCTTAAACTTTCGACTAATGCTCGCTGATAACACCCCACAATTGTGGAAAAATTGCTTGATAAACTTCCGTCAATCAATAGTTGGCATGATTTCCTGATTTTCGTGCTTGTCTAGTCTCGCTTTAGTCCAAACTTTAGTCTTGTTTAGTCACATAATTCTGATTGGACAGAAGGCTAGGGACTCGACCGTTTATTGGATGGTTCAACCAAGTTGAGTGTGGCGCCACTTTGCATACAATCGGGGTTGTTAATCAATACCGTCTGCGTGAGCTTGTAAAAGTACAAATGCCTGAATGGCCACAGGTAGTGTGGGGGTGGGTACACGCACACATAGGGTGTGAGCAAACGATCCACCACGATCGATAGAGGCGGCTCTGAGGTTTCAAAGGCCGGTTACTTGACACGAACCAACAAGATTAACTACAGGATCATTGAAGGAATGTTTATTTGCTAATGTATACACACGACGAGGCCCTAGCTTCAAGACGCATCCAATGGTGACTAGAACGTTAGAACGTTAGCCTGCGCCCCGATTGTGAAAGCAATCTTCCGCAAGATAACCACGCACAAAGGGTAGAGAGCCTAGAATTGTCCCCAACTGTACTTGTTCGAAATGCTTCGAGGGAATTTTGCTTGAAAACTCGTAGCCTTCGTGAGTTCTTTCTCACACAAGCTCACCTGATGCAACAGCTTGTTGACCTCCTTGACTTTAGCCAGGATCTGCGGACGAAGAGCAACGGAGTAGCGCTCTGCCATTTCATCAATCACGTCGTTGAGCATCTGCTGAAGGTCATGCATGACCTCCCGCGTGTACTCTTTGAGGTTCTGATCGCCACCCATGGCCTCGTATACCTTCTCCAGTTGCACACGGCACTGCTGAATGTTGTTCATCAGGATGCAGGCTGTCTCCTGGAACTCGACCCAGTGTCCGAAATCGGCCTTCACCACCTCGGCGTAGGTTAGGAGGACTTTGCCGACCGTCTAGGAGGAAATTAGGAGTCAGCAAAGTAACTCCGTCGATGAGGATGAGGGCTTAATTGAGCACGCAGGGGTCTCTAGGGTGCACGATATCTACTGGAATCAAATCTGTGGCTCAATGAATTCTGTAATCCTGCAAATACTGATAAAACTAAGATGAAAATCAGTTTTTCGCTATTGCATTCAGTTAATTTAAACGACCAACCAGATTCCAGTGCACCAATCAGCGAATCAGAAAGTCAGCCTGTTCGCATCCCTCACACATTAACCCACTTGAACAACATGGCCCACAAAGAAGCAAATTTTGATTGGTGAAATGGTGTTGTGGCATCCAAGTGCCATTGGTTAGTTGTGTTATACCAAGACTAATTTTACTAATATTGAAACAATGAAAATCACTGATGTACCGTCGCAGTATACATTTGACAGTGCGAGTTATGGAAAAATTTTAGTTCTTTCTAAACTTTGAACTTTGATAAACACTCATTAATCGTTGTAGCTGGACTATGAACCAAACAAACGCTCCTCCACATATTTTGGAAGTATTTTGCGTAATTGGGACACTTGGTATTTCTTGAAGCTAAAAGGACAACAAGAAGAGAGTAGATTGTCTAATTTGTTGGCAGAAAAGTGACGAGGGTTGGATATTCAAAAAAAACGGTCGGAAATTTTGACTGAAGCAAGCCAAAGGCGCCACTGAAAGTCGTCACAAGGGACCGCGATAATTGAGAAATTTCTCAACCAACCTGTGAAAATCGGTTCAAGAAGCGATCGTTCACAACCGGATCAGGACACTCTAATTTTTTCATGATGTCAAAGCACTGGTTCAGCTGGGTGAAGACGTCCACGACTGAGTTGGAGAACAGGGCTTGACCGCTGGAGCGATGGAAACCGTCTTTTTTGTCGCGTTGGTACGCGTTACGCAGGTAGTCCATCGAGATCTCGTCGTTCTCATTCAACCACTGCATCACAAACGGCTCAAACCAACTGGAAAAAAAGGAGAAAAGGCAATTGACGCCTGCAAAAACACTGGTTTAGAAAACTTTTCTAGTGTCACTATCGATTAACTCAAAATTGAACAATACACTCGGAGTAGTTTTGAGTCCAAGGTCAGAGAAAAATGTCTGCATGATACTACTGGGAGTCCTAAACACCGTCTAGACGTACAAGTGATCTTCGGCTGTCTTCTAGTGCCCTACAAACCTGTGTGGCTGCGTTTAGATGGTACCAGTGTGAGCGACAATATTGATTTAAGATTTAGAGGGGTTTCTGCGCAAAATCGTTGTTGGTTGACTGACAATTTTACCTCGGGCATAGGGTTTTTACAGTCGCACGGATTCCGATTATCTTACATTGAATAAAGTTAAAATCAACAGTGAAATCAAAGATGATGCATCAAATTGACCTGGTGCTCCAATTAAATGGGCTCAAATGTCGCGCTTTCATTGGGTGATTGGAAATCTTCGTGTCCGATTTGAGACCAAATTGTCCCCAGCACTAACCACAAAACGACTTCACACTACAAACTGCGTAGTTTTGCTTCGTAAGGTAGTTTATGAAAATGTGATGAGGCAAGCTCAGGAGAATTTGTCTTAATTTTTGTAGTGCTGTTTGAACGACATTTGGTCAAGCATTGTCATGGCGAAATACAATGCCATTTCGAAGGAGCAAATGCGGACGTCTTGCTTGGAAGTTCAACAATGAGTTGGGTGAGTCAATCACGAAGTTTAAAAGTACATCTGGATTGCTTTAAAAGGCAAAATACGGTTACAATTGTCGCCTGGTGATCCGCAGATTATTATTTCCTAAATCTAGGACAAAGTCATTATCAATGCCGGAAGGTCGCCCAGAATGAATGTTTACCGTTTAGCTAAAAGTCGCCATTTTGAAAATGAATAAACTACACCTCAAGTATCTCGTACAACACGACACAACAAAAATGTGACTATCAATTTTCCATTGTGAATCATAACCCTACACGTAGATGGTAATGACGCCGATAATTAACCGTCGGTAAAGAATCAGGTCACGTTTCCAATATCAGCGGAGTTAAAAGTGCATTTTCAGCCATCAGTGTAAGTCTGATACTGTCGAGAGACCTGTTTATTCAATCCCCTAATCCGGTTGCTCCACCTCCTACACAGGGTTCCCCTTGTCGCAGCATGTTGCCAGCCGCTCGATTCCCCAACTCCCCCCTCATTAGCCCGAATATTTATCTTGGAGTGTCCCCACGCCTAGGTCTCGATATTAGCGCATGTATGACTCACACATCCGAGCTATAAATACGCACGAACAAATCCCACACACGGCACAACGACACCAACGTGGTTGACCTCTGAAGTAAACGGTTGTGTCCACGTCCTCTCCGGCCTTTTCCTTCATCGCGGGTATCAGGCAAGCGTAACCGGGCCAGGGTTAATTCCCACAACGACACTAACGTCTACAAGTGTACATGTCAATCGGTACGCCGTGGATTATCCACAGCCAAATCTGCACCAGTCTCCCACAAACACGGATCGTTGGTGACACACCCTCAAATCGAACACGATTGGTCCTGGCTAACCTTGGATACGCCGGAACGACAGACTTGAGCTCCGGAACCTCTGCGATGTGCGTGTTGTAGAACCACTTGACTTTGAAGCAGAGATTCATGTAGTCAGAGGTCTTGCAGTAGCGGTTGGAGGCGGCTGCGTGTTGTTCGAGGGCCGCGGAAAGGTCTTCTGAGAGGCGCGTCCACATGCAGTACGCACTGATGAGGCCCATGTTCGCCTCCTGCGGAAACCTTTCAAAGAAGAGTGTGTCAAAATCACACAACCTCCACCAACACCTGTTAGTGAATATGGGCACAAAAGTGATCGTCTGCTTCACGTAAAAAGTGCTTAAATTGGGCTTACTGATTGATGACAGCCGCGTAGGTCGTCTTGTCCTCCTCAATCACAGAAACCAGAAGAGCGATCAGTCGATGCCAGAAGTCAAGGGATTTCAGAGATGGCCCAGGTTCATCGGTTGAAACCTTCTCCTAGACAAGGCAATGGGCAAACACAGGGCATTATTGTGTCTGGGTGAAAGATTTCAGGAAGAAGGAAGCTTCAGGGGTAGTTTCCAGGAAAACCAACTGCTGCAACGACGCGAATACGACTTTGCAATCTAAACTACCGCTCTAAGCATCGCCGTCTACGGAAGTGATGCCGATCTGACTGTACTGTGCCTTGTAGACCTCTCCAACCACAATTGTCGTTTGAACCAATCTAAACAACCGTGACGGCTCAGTGATGAATCACAAACGAATAGAGAGTGACTTAATTGGGGTTTCGTTTACAAAATAATGAATGAGTAAGGCATCTCCAACGCTGATGCATCTGGCGACTCATTTGAGGTCAATTCGGTGTCAAATGAACACCAAACGAAGTTAATACCTGAGTTTGTGATGGCTCACCCTAATTTAAAACTCCTCTGAGTAATCATATCAATAATCGATAATCGGAGCATCAGTCATCAATGCAAGCAGACGGCGTGGCAATCGATCGGCATTGCGCAGCCATGGCTTTACCACGAAGGTCTTAGGGACAAACTCCTCAATAGAACAGCCATTTTCTTTTTAAAACAAAACGTTTGCGTGGAAATTTTGGGGTCAAATAAGGTATTGGAAAACAACTTGACAGAAATGGTGTGCACGCATCATGCCATGCTGGCGGCCGGCGTCACCCAGACAGATTTTATCTAATAATGCATAATTAATAAACATCAGAAGGGCGACTAATTGTATCTCGGTATTGAATTGGAGAAAAAAAGTGGAAATTAGCTGTTGATGTTTGAATGACGCGCCACTACACTGCACGTGGTTTAAGCCACCAATCAACAGATGAGGCATTCATGATGTGGACGCAAGAGGTACACAACCTGGAATTGTCGAGCGTAGAGGTCATTTGCGTTGTCGTAGAGGAACTGGTAGGTGGTGTGCATGCACGCTTGTGCGCACTCCTTCACCACTTGGCTGGCCCGAGGTGGACTTGTCAGCTCCTGAACCTGCAATTAGAAAAACCTGAACTTTAATGGAGCGAATGTTTTCGGTAATTTGCGACATGGACTTATCCGACCGATATAGGCATGTAATACGACTAAGTAGCATGAAATTTTAACTTGTACAGGGTGAAATTTGTAATCAAATGCACCATTCCCCGTCATTTGGATTTCCTGACATTATTTAGGGCATCAGAAAAAATGCATGTGTGCATTACACAAGGAATTAACATTTGCGCTTTTTCCCAGCATCCACAGATGTGCACGTTAATTTTCACACAAAACTAATTTAGCAGTTTCAACAAAATTAGCCAATCCCCGGCCACACACCCACACATAACCCGTTCGCTAAGGTAATTGGTCAGAACCACTATGCATTTTCAGCCAATCAATATTGAGAAAAATGAACCAATTGGTGATTCGCGAACCGGACGAATCTTTCATCATGAACTGACTCACACTAAATATATACTAGAGAGTGGCTAGGTGCAGATTAAAATAGAGCAGTCTAGACAAAGAAATACGACGAAAGCAGCCCTAGTCTTTAGTGAGGTCGTGGAGTGAAAGAATGCTGAAGCATTCGATTGACTGTCAAGATAACAGATTAGGATGTCTCAAGTCGGAATGAATTTTTGTTGTTGTTGACACTTCAGAATTTGGGCAGATCAGACCTTCAATTAACGTGCCACAGATGAAAGCAAACAAGCCATTTGTTTAAAACCATAGATTTGCGCCGCGGTGAAAACGAATCATGTCTGGTATTTAAGAGCGGTCACACTTGTTGAAACAAAAGAGCGAACCTACCTTCATACGGAAGAAAGTTATGCTGGTGAGAAGATCGACCGTCGATTTGAGATCCTGAAGTTTGTCCGGTTGGGAAGCTGGGAAACAATTCTAAACGGGAACGACCAATTCAACAAGTGCACAGGAGGTTTTAAAGATTTGCGTCGAAGAAAACACGATTTTTGTCAGGGTATTCGATATGGACACAGCATCTTAGAATCTAAGAAGGCCCTAACTTGTTTAAGATCCTTTCCAAATGTGTTAGTTGCGCGATAATTTAAAATAAGCAAATAAATCACTTACTCTGTACATGGATAGACTGATGCGTAACGAATTATGCAGTTGGTCGAGCAACTTGACGAATTTTTCTTTCTAAAAGTGAAAACAATGAAATCTTGATCCCAGACACGACAAGTGGAAACATCGATCGTTTCTGTGTAAGCTCGTTTTTGATTGGCTGATTGCAATTTGAGGGATGACAGTGTGCTGGACCTACAATATCTGGTCGTCCTTTATAAAAAAGGGGAAATTGATTGCAAAACAGAAGACCCTGGAAGATTACAGGGTGACCTTGGGGTTCATTAAAACAAAGGCACTAACCCCAAAGTTGCTGGCACTGAATCTTTCCGAGGCGGTCTGGTTGCCTGAGGCTGAGGTGTGGGCGTAGAAGGCGTTGATGTTGGCAAGCAGGCACGACATGGTTGCAGGCACCTTGGTGCACATGAACTTGGTCGTCAAACAAGAGAAATGACTGAAATTTTGGAGAAAAAAAGCGGAGAGTAGGTGGGGTGGAAATATGTGCTTGGCAAAGTACTGTCATGAAAGTATTCATCCAACCGTGAAAGCATAGCGAATTGTATTCAATTCCCGGTTGTACGAGTACTATGAAAACGACTTACGTCATTGCCTGGTACATCGTTTCAATTCCATAGCGAATCGCAAATTCTGTAATAATTTCCTGTGCTGGCGAATCAAAGTAGACTTTCCAACTGTCGTCCTTGAAAATCGAGAAAAGACAGAAGCTGAAAATTCTGCTTAAGCACACAGATGACAGGAGGGAGAGTGCGAGAGAGAGAGAAGAATTCTCGCATCCTGCCAAAAATATTTTCGCGCCTGGGAGCAGCAACACTTGAGTCGCTTTCGCATGCCCCGCTCAGTTTAAATGTACCGGAACAAAATCAATCGATTAAAAATCGCCGATCGTTTTAGTAGTTAAACAAGAATTTAATCAAGCATTGTTAAAACTTGTTGCTTGGTTTGTGCACCTGTTGGTTGTTGTGGCACTAAAAGTTATAAATTCCCATTTTACCAGTCCCACTCTTGATAATTTATGGTTGTTTTTGGTATTAAGATCCACAGTTCAGTAAAACAACGGCTTTAAAGAGGGCGGGGCGTACAGGTTCAGAAACCATGACACCCAACGATGCACAGTATCCACAGGCTCCCGAAATTCTCACCTGATGGTGCACTTTTAATGCGCAAAAGTAGTCCATTTTAGGATGGCGCCTAATTAACGGGGTGAAGTGAGCTCAAACAAGCGGGCAAGTGAATTAAAACAAGCATAAAAGAGAGGCAACTATACCAACTGATTTAAATTAATTTAAAGGAGCATTGGAGTTAGGAAAGGCATTTTATTGCGCAGTTTCTTATTATGCATCCCACTGTCGGAAAAAAATCCTTTTTTTTGAGAATCAAAAATTGCCATTTCAAATGGGTCGAAAGTTTGGTGACATCAACGTTTTTTACAATTTTTGCCGAAAGATGATGTGTGAGGATTTTCTAACAAATGCAGTTGACACACAATAAATGGTTTTTTAAATAACAAGACTTTTGACGCCAAATTAAGGGCAAAAATTTCAACCTGGTAGATCAAATGTTGTTCGGACACGAACCCTACAATTTGATTGGCTTTTGTAACCTAAATTGCTATTGGTTTAACTAAGGCCATTCAATTAAACAGGCTCTTTTAGTGGTTGGCACAATTAAACTATTCGTTTTCATTAATTATACAAGCACCCAATTTGGGAAGAAATTGAGTGAAATTTCCGAAATTTTGTTAGAGATTAAGCAGGCATTTCATTGGTTGACAGTAGATTGTTTCGTTTCAGATTTTAGACAAAGTGCCCGTTGATGCTTGAGATTTGTGTCGTAGCCTCAATGAAGCATGCGGCCACGTTTTTTGTATAGATCAACTCAAATGCCTTCTAGTTAATCTCTAGTTCTGATTAACTCATCAACTTCAAAATCTATTGTTTTCACAAAGAGCGCAAATTACTGTGATTTACACAAATTTCTAGAAATGAATGTATTTTTCCATGCACAGGGCATGTATATTTGATAACCAAACAACACACTCTTTTCTTCAATACGCAAAACCACAGTGACAACGAACGTCTTCAAAATCGAGCGCGGAAACGTGTTAAGTCTCATTCTGATTGGTGCGTGAAAACACACATTTTTGTGATGCGCATTAGAGAAATGAAGAAACCAGAGCAACTTACCCCTTTAACCTTTGGAATCTTGACTTCCGGCTCCCCGTTTTTCTTGTTTGTCTCGCAGAGGTAGTAGAAAATGTTCTACAACAAACCAATGGATTAATTAAGAGCCATTTTTAACGGTGAAAGATGCTCCGAAAAATCTCGACTCCTCCCGCATTTCGAAAAAAACTCATGACTGATTTACAGTTTTGACCAATTTAAACAAACGGAATTAACACATTACAAGTAGATCCTGCACATAACGTTGAGTAGATTTTTCGTAGACAGATTGCGGGCACTGAATTAGTCTATTGATTTATTGATTTTGCTTTTAAAGGTTGACTCAATGGATTGCGAATAACCAGTATTCCCTAATACAATTTTGCAAAATAGGGCGATAGATTATCTTAGTGACAGCATTTAATTGGTCACGCCGCTGTCCAATCACGCTATTCCTACATCACACTGACAGATCATACATTTATTAATCACTCTTAATCCTTTAGTTCAAGGTCATTCAAGACATTTGAAAAGTCACCCGGATTTTGGCCAAGGCAGTTAAGATCTCACTATAGGACGTCTTGTCGTTGCGTGTTGCTTCCATGAGCGTGCGCTTTTGATTTCTAGCCAATCGTAAAATTATTGAACACGAAATCACCGAAAGGGTATATTTTATCAGAGAGCAATTTTTAAATTTGAACGGCGTGGAATTTTAACCTTGGCGACACACATTTGAACACTTTCATGGGATTTCGTTATTATCCTTCAAAGCAGCACTACTGTTGCTGCAATTTTGTTCCTAAGTTATCCATTTCTGTTGCACGAAAATGCGGGAAGAGAAGTAAGAGAAGAAAAAGGTAACGCACAACCACCGCGTTTGCCACGGGCCAGCTCAATCAGTGAGAAGGCTGACTTGTTTGTGCAAAAAAGTGTTTTTCACACGCGGAAAGAAACGACACCGAGAGTTAGCTTTGGCAAATCAAATATGGCCAGTTAGAACATTCTGCGACGGGCTTTTCGGTAGTCAGCGATGCTGGGAGTAGTAGTGGAAGATCACTATGCAGGAACGATGATCAACTTCTGGAACATCCGACTGACCTTTCAGATATGCGACAGGAAGCAGAGGCTGGCGTGGCTAACCCAAACACACCAACCACCAGACCCTCGACACTAATTCTCAAATGACTTCATTATCACGACAATCATCAGACGAAGAACATTCACAAAAGATGCGATAGACTTTCCAGTTATCGAATCTGTCGATTTCTTTCAGTGGCAACGACTACGTCCGCATGAGATCCATTCAGGATCGACCATGGATGCTCCAACCAGCGAAGTTCGTTCAGAGATTGAATGTCAAGCGTTCCTATTTAAACAGATGCCTTGCCACGCTCCCATCTTAGCAATAAATCGATTGGATTCGGCGTGATTGGATAACTTGTTCCATCCCGGTTCGGTCGTGTCAGTGTAGATCAAAGTGCCATCCACGCACAAATTCCAGACTGCTATTGGCGTTTCCCCGTCTCTGCCATTCCTCTTCGTTCGTGTACACTGTTTCAGAATTCCGAGAACAACGCAATGACGTCATGGCTGTATTACCAAACTCTCGATACACGCCACGATAAAATTGACGCCACAAAACCGTAAAAAGAACGATTTTATTTGCAGTGTGTATAAAAGAGGAGGGTTTATGACTATGTGGGCATATTTCAGATGCGAGCAAATGTGCGTTGACGATTATTTCTGTTAGCGAAATCCCATCTGCAAGTCAAAAATCATTCACTGCAGAGGCATGCAGAGATAGGGAATAAGGAATAGCTGTTTTTAAGTTAAATTTTCCTTCCATTTGGCTGCACAAATAAGCACTGCAAACAAGACGCGAAGTGGGCCACGTAAAATTTCGAAATTTTGCAAAATTTGAAGTGGCTTTTACGTGGCGCAAGGACATCCCAAAGACCTGTAATAGGTTTGAGTAAGCTCGACTCATTACACCAGAAATTGATTAAGCCTATTGGTGGATGTAAACAATGCTTCGCTTCGTGATTGGCGCATTGCAGAAAATCGATAAATTCCTGAATAATCATACAGGCCATTCTTAAATGGCGTTTCCAATTTAGTAAGCGAGCATTCATGGCTCGAAAATTTGAAACGTAGAAGTGGAAACAGAAATAAACTTGAATATTTATGATTAAAAACTCCGGTTTTGCATTTGGAATTGAGTATCGTGTGCAAAAAAGCCCTTTCCAAATGTTGCTGCCTCCCCAAAACGCTCGGTAGTTTGCATCGCCCATATAAAAGGGAGTGCTGAATCATCACAAGCGCAGTTGGGATTGCAGGCGTTCCGGCTACGGCCAGATTACTTTGCAGAGGCGTCCGCATAGAGTGAGCAGCGCACGCACGGTGGAGCAATCACTGATGGCTATTTGCATTTTCTCGCCTTATTAATTACATTGCCACAGCACTTTGAGGTGTGAGAACCCCAGAATTGTTCGATTTATGCATCATTGGTAAGTAAGATGTCTAAAATCTTAGTTGGATCATCTTAAGTTGGAATGCTGTGGGATGTGGCTGCAACCGATGAAATGAGACGCGATCTGATTGGTTCAGAGATGTACAAATCGATAATTGGACCTGGTTTTGGATGAGCGCTCAGAATCGAGCTACCCTCGATGTCTGCTGATTCGTGAAAGCACGTCTGATACTGGCTCGCATTTCAGCAGTGTGAGGCGGATTCTGTGAGGCGTTTGTTTCGCTCTCAATTTAGGAGTTGGTTGGTGCAACAGCTACCAAATAGCGACGTGCTAACTCACCTCGTGTAGACACGTGTACTGGACATGGTAGGGTGCAACTTTCTCTTCGCCTTTGATCTCAACAGAGATGTGCAGTCTAATCGCCCCGGACACCGCGCTCTTGTCTGTTCGTTTCTCTAAAAAAAAGAAGACTACTTTAATTGACTCTCTTCTGGAAGGAGCTAACACACACCCGCTGTGGACAGTTTGTCAAAATTTGACTCTTATATGAATTTGATACAGAACATAAACGGGGACACACAACATCGAGAGTCAAACGACACTTGTAGCAACACAGACGCGGACCGTAACCCACCCAGGTTATACCAGACGTCCATTTCACCCGAAAGCGTTCGGACGTCGATAATGGTTTGGCCGAGAAAATCGTCCGATTCGGAAGTCAGTTTGGAGCGCAATTTTGAGCGCAAGTCATTATCCTCGTCCCTGGATAAACACGTCTCATCACAATAAATTGCAAAATTAACATGGATACAATTGCAGTCGTTGCCATGGTGTTCATGTCTGGTTCGTTGTTTTAATCTGGATTTTCGCTGAGAGCCACTTACGACCTGCTCGCGAAGTGTCGCGGCATAAACATAACTGCCGTATGCGTAACGTTGATTGATGCTTATTGTTTTAGGACAACACACACACACACGCCTCTTTTCTTCCCGTTGCCCAGCTGCAGTTCAAATTTTGGGCATCCGAGTATTGTTTAAATTCACTCGATGTCATTGGTTGTTTCAGTGACAAAATATGATTCTTTTCACCTGTCACTCTCCGTTTTCCCATTTTTACATAACGCAAATAAATTTGTTAAGTTTGAAGTTATTGCAAAGTTATGCAGACACTGGATAAGCCTCGAAGTGCAAACAGCAATTTTCTGATTAACAGAGTAAAGAAGCATCTAAAGAAACGATCAGTTTCTTTTAAAGGGAGGCAAGGAAAAAGTTACACCAAATTAGATTAATTAGGTTTGAAATTAAAACCAGCTGCGGCGGTTTAACAAGACTGGAAAGAAAGACGTGTAACAAACAAGTGATTTCGCTACCTGTGCGGGTTTGTTTTAATGAGTTGATTTATGAAATTCAACGTGTGCGGCAATGTGAAAAGAAAGAAGAATGAAGTGCACTTTGCGGTTTTTTGTTTAAATTGTGAGTTACAATCAAGGTGCATTCTTACCAAACGCGTATCTTGATTCGATCAGTGCCGTTGTGACACTCACTACAAGAGAAAAAACGGTTTGTTTTAATCATAGTCGATGTTGTGGATGTTTGAAGGTCTTCTCAAGAATGACAAGCACCAAATCTTTCGTCCACGAAAGTGAAGCACAGCGACAAGTGGATGCGATACTACATAGGTTAAATTGTACATACATGTGAAAACATGAAAAAAAGAACAAACATCGAGGTCTTACAAGTAGAATTTTTCATTCCACACTGGATTCAGCTCCTGCGGTACGGTCTTGGTCCGCTTCTTCACCTTGCCTACCTGAACGGTGACGTAGGGGTCGCTGGTGCCGGTCTTATCCTTCCCAATGAGACCTTGGGCGCATTTCACTGTATCACAACAAGACACCTCAGTACTGCAATTCCACAGCTCTCGTTGGCGTCATCTCGTAATTTCATGCCACAGACGTCGCGTCCTAATAAGTCTTTTTTTTCAAACCTCTTGCCTGTGCCTCAAATCTGGGAGGAGTATTTTTGGTGAATTTTTAATTTATACAATTTAATTTTCGTCACATGAAGCATGGCTTTACTGGCTATTGTTTAATAATTACCCTGAACATTTGCCTGCTTAACTGCTAAGATCAAATCGAAGATCAAAAATCAATAATGCGGATGTTATCTGGCATGATACATGACGTGGAATGCGGACTTGAACGTACCAGTGATGGCAATTTTGGCCGACCACTGACTGGTACCGTCTAAAATGCTCTTCTGGGCTTGCTGAAGGTTCTGCTTGTGGGCATCAGTCACCTTGAAGACCTTCGCAACAAGATCGAAGAGTTCGGGCTTGTCCTGCACTCTCTGGTGCATCAGTGCTGACATGGCCTGCTTTATGCTCTGCGTCCGGTCCTCGGCCCCGTGTTTAATCGACTTCTCGGCCGCGCCTGAAACATCACACAAGAGGCATTTCTTCAATTTAAATTAAAAAAAAACAAGTTTCTGTGTGATTGGGTAGCCGGTTTTCGTGAATGTTGTTTGATTGGACTGTCTGCTATACCAAAGACTGACTATGTGACGTTAGTTCCATGCAAAGCAGTCCTGACAAGCAACGTGTTTTGGAAAAAGACCTCTTGATTATATGAATAACGACGAGTTCTTGTCAACAATCAAACTGATTCAAACTACAAGCTACCATTAGCATCTGTAACATTTACCTGTTAGTTTACATGTCTAGTTTGTTTTACCACACTGGTTTCGTTGGAACGCCATTCAAATCCACCACTAGCAGTACATTTGTTGTTTGAAATTTATTCTTTACTTTACTTATTGTCGTAATACTTTTCTCGTTAAGGACACCCAGCATAAAGGCGTTTAACGTTCCGGGTTGCCTCCGTTATTTTTAGATTCCGGCAAGTCTGTCTTAGCGTTTAAGCTGCTGTTTTAAATGATTTTGTATACCTGAGTCATTTTTACATGTTTCAATAAGTTAAAGTGTAAATGGCCAAGCTAAAACACACAAAGGAAAAAGACAAGCCGAATCCTAGGAAATATTTCCAACTTTTTGCTGAATTTACTCAAATTTTAATGTATTATAAGTCAAAAAAAGGAGATTAACCTGAGCGAATCGCAACTGACCAAAATGATAATTTAGCCTTTTACATTTTTACGTATTAACATTTCAATAACCGCCAAATTTGCCGATTAACGAGGTTTAAGAAATGGGTGATTAAGAATGTTGTGTCAAATTGAATGTCGCGTTTTTCAGAAAGCTGTGTGTATTTATAAACAATGAAAAATTTGGAAGTTTGATTGGCCATTAGGATGCAGAATTGTCGCGATGGTTGACTGGAACGACTAATGATCATGCCTTCACCATCAAATTACCGCGTCGAAAACACGTAGTGACCTTGACGGACACTAGTAAACAAAAGTACCTTCTTTGGATATTGGAGCCAATTAGACGGGGTTAGACGGGCTTAGGAAATCTGGATTTTTATTGGTCCATTTCAAAGTAGACTTGATCCCTCTCGATAAGCCTATTTGGATGCAATACCGACGAATGTTTACAGACAGTAGAATTTGCCACATTTGATGGGCGGGTGCATTTGTGGGGACTGTATTAATCGATAAACATATTTAGTCAGATATGTTTCTATGAACAGTTGAGATATCTAGTAAACGGTCGTCTCCGCCATCTCCTGTCGTGTCTGAGCAGCTTTCACAGGCTAGATTCAACGCAGCGGCTCTGCCGCGGTACTAGACCACATGCAGGGGCCCACAACAATTGGCTACCCAGACGTGATCATCCCACAACACCTGCATTCGGGCAAGTTCAAACATACGCTGGAGGCAGTCTGCATTAAGGAGTTCTCGGCACTTCTCGTGGCACTTCACCCCACACTCCGTGCAGCGCAGACCCTGTCGCGCCAGACCCCAGAGCATTCCCTCGCATTCGTAGCAGTACGTGGGGCCGGTGGCACTCCAAACCTGGAATTTGTGCGGGGTGTCGCTGGAGATAGGGTAGAGTAGGGCTTGGAGGGTCTTTTTGTACACGTGTTGTTTCTACAATGTTGCAAATTTAAAAGAATTATTAGACCTCAGACTGCTTAAAATCATTGCAAGTAGTTAGCCTAAATTGATCATTTGTTCAAAACATTATCCTGTATGTTCGAAAGCAACCAGCCAATCATCAGGCGAAACTCGCGAAAACTGGCCCCGTGATTGGTGCATCGCAGAAGGAGTAACACAAAACGGAATATTTGTCCAAGTTGGGTCGCAACGATGACTGTGAGAAGTAAAGACAATTTCTTAACCAAACAATTTAGCCAATTTACGAAACGACTAAAAAAGAACGTGGATAGGGAGCTGGAGCCTGACGCAATCAACCACCAATCAAAGGGCGGCTGTGAACAAATTTATAACCTGCTTCATTCTACGCCGCTAATTAATCAGGGCTGCTGGTCCCAAATTAAATTTGCCGTAGCTGATGGAGCCTGACTTGTCGCCTTTGATGTGCCCTGGTTGCGTTTCTTTCCAAGTCCACTCGCACTGGGTTGGGTAGCTTCCACGCGATGATGATTTTACACCCGTTTTCCAAACTGCCGGGTTTTGAGGGCAAAAATACTCTGAAATAGATCTTGTGGTGCCTTTGCCTTCAATGACATTAGTAGTGGGAATTCTGTATTAAAAAGCATGATAATTTGGGCATTTCCGGCACGCGACACAGCAAAATGTTTGTATCCCAGTACTAACTAAAGTTGTAGACACAAAGCCTGCAAAGTTTTACACAAATTTGTGGATTTAACGTTTTGCTGTAAGCTCGCACGAGGGTCGAGTACATTTGAAACAAAATAAAACCTCGCTCGTGTCGTAATTTTAAGCCCCTGGATGTGACAGCATCTTAACCTACTTCGACAGCCATTTTGGGCTGCAAATCAAACTGTCAAATGAAGGGGAAGGGGGTTGTGAAATTCCACAAGGCGTGTTCAAATACAAGTCTGACGTTTACCAACAACAACAAGCTCCTAGGACCAGACTAAACCACTTTCCGCTGACGTGAATTCGTCCTCCAAATCAGGAAGAAAAATTACCACGTCAACGGGAGACCGAGGCGGGCACTCACCAGTTCTTCGTCGTTAATTGACTGGCGGGTAATCAGGTTGGCACTAGCGGTCCCCATATTTCTCTTCTGAACAGCCATTGTCTAAGAAAAGATGAAAAATCAATAATCTCAATGTAAGGTGTGTTTCTCATTTGCAATTCCCGACCGTATTTCGCAGTAAAATTGAAGCAATCACATGCATTTCAGCGCTGATTTTGAGAGAATGACAGTGGCAAGAATAATTACAGGCCAGACTTTGTAAAAAATCCCGAAATAGCACATTCTTGGTAAGTCTAAGCAGCATTTTACGCTTGAAAAGACCAGACAAGAAATGCACAAGCGAAATAACAGGTTTCTACGCTTGCTTGTGGAAAAGCACACAATACTACAGAAGGATCTTTGAATAAGGCGTGTTTTTCCGATGACGTGGAACCACATGTCAGTTTTTTGTACTAAACCGCCTCTGGTTAAAATAAGAGAAGGCAAAGCACAGATTGTTTAAAACAGCAATGTGATAAGACAGGCGCGCAAACCAATTTTTTGGCAGAATGAAAAATTTGCAACTGCACCACGAGGCTGCAGATAGAAGCGTTTAAAATTAAGCCTGATGTCTGATATCAGATGTTGCGATAAAGAAAATTAATTGCTTTCACGCGAGGCATTTTCCAATCGGAGCACCTGTTTAGGGCGCATCGCAGGGGTCCTACGTCGAGGCAAGCAGGTGACCACGAAAATCGAGTAATTATGGAATGACACAACAATTATTGGTAGATAACTTCACAAAGAGGGCTTACCTGTATTACCTACAACGCAACGAAGACCATTTAATGAATTTGTAAAGGAAAATTAATCACAGAAATCATAAAAATTAACCCCAAAATACTGCCTTTTCGTGAGCAAACGAGTCGACCGCAAAGTTAGCATTACCACGACAATCAGGGTTTTAAACTACCGTTTTGTAAGGAGCACATACCATTATGTATTTTTTTAAAAATCTAAGTGCACACATTTAATCAAGTCGTATAATCAATAATCGCAGTCAATCGTGGTCCAAAACCGTCTCCTTATTGGACAGCGCTAACAACCAATCACGATGCAAAAATTATTTGATCGTTAGAGCTGGTTCGCTTTTGTGAGACAATTTCAAATTTGGACCAGTTTTTTTTTCGAAAAAAAGTCATGTGATGTGTTATAAGGCAAACAATGAAATTTCGCTTCTTTTTTCATTAATATTAATGAACAGATTTAGTTCACGAAAAAAGTCGATTTCTAGCAGAATAACGAGTCATAAACACCCACTCGGATAATGGCCTTTAGTAAACACAGACGACTTCGTTGGTATGAGTATTTTAAGACGCCAAATTTCGGATTTCGCCTGCAGTTAAACCAATGTGTGAAAGAATTATGGCTAAATCGCAAAAAAAAGGCAGTCTTACCAAGTCGCTGACAAGCGAAATCGGCTTCTTTTTCAGCTTAAAGTCAGGCAGACTATCGATGTTGTAAAATGAGAAATAATTGTCGCCAGGTTTTTTACTAAAAAATGAACAAAAGATAACTAACGCTTTTGGCCTTTTTGAAGAGCCGTCTAGTGGTTGTTAAGTTAAAATTGAACGTACCGCGGCAGGGCCCCAGACTAAAATGTAACAAAAAAATAAGGTTAAGTCCATCTGTTCGGCGGGATTATGGACGTGAAAATTTGGTCGTCCTGGTGTTTCGATGCCTCAAGCACGGTGGAGTTAGACACTAGTCTAGACAAGGATGTCGGGTTCCTGTAAGTAGAATTAAAGTGCAACCAAGCTATGCTGTGAGACTTGTGAGATTCAGAGAAATTAGGTGACTCATTACATGCTTCCAATCTGTTAAATATGTCAATGAGTAGATTTGTCAGTAAATTTTGCGTGAAAATTCCCGATTTGTTGTCAAAATCCAGCCACACAAGTTCACAAGTAACAAGTCTGGTCCACAGACACGCTAGAGTACCTCATTCAACTGTCTGCAGACGTGATTGAAAGCGTCGATCCACCGTCGCCTAGCAACAGGAGGTTTCAACTCGACGTCCAGACTCTTTGAAGGCTTCGGCGAGTCGAGACGAGACTGCAGGGCAACACGACCTCGTTTCTTGGCCTCGTGACCTTCTTCCTCTGGCGGAGGCACCAGTCTCACGCCCTCGTTCGACGTCAGAGAGTCGGTGTGCCGTCGAAGTCGTCGGCGTTGCCTGGGCTGGTGTTGGTGGTGGTGGAAGTCATCGAATTCACCCTTCATTCCATCACTGAAGCGAAACATTGCAGGATCGGTGAAAGTTTGGCTACTCCCAGACGCACTGGTCTCTTCCTCGTCTCAAAATATTCCGATGCGTTCCGTTATTGCAATTTCCTTCCAACGCTCAATCGACAATCAAAAGGCCTTTTCAAAAAACCGACCTAGTTCATTCATTCTTCAAGTTTTTGTTACTTTTTGGTAATAGTTCTTACAAATCCCAGAAGTAGACAAAGTTTCACTTCAAAAAAGTTCAAAAAACGGTACTTTAGCCACTCACAATAACACGGTCCCCTAAGATGCTCAGAATACAAATGAACTCTTTTAAATAACCCCCAGCAAATGGCTAACTAAGCCCTAATTTACATTTTGACGCAGACAGAATCCCAAATAATGATCCGTTAGATAGAAAAAAGTAATTACTGCGGAGATTGACTACATCCCAGTTGCAGAAAATTGGCACGACAAATTTTAAAGATATGGAACGATTTTGACCCTTCTCAAAGAATTGCAACCGAAATTCTTGGGCACCATTTAGAAGAGGTCACTTTCGACCAACCTGGAAGGCACTAGGATCGACATTGAGGCATCTTTAGAAGGATCAGCTCTTTGTGATCCACGATTGGCGCAGCATTCTTCCAGCAACCACAATGTTCATATCGAGGTGACTCACTCCAAAGCTGCTACCAAAATCCTTTATGTACAAGGCGAAAGGTAGTACCATTTCAAAATAGA